ACAATTATTACACAAATAAGAAGACGAAGAAAATTAAAAGCAAAGAGAGAGAGAGAGAGAGAGAGAGAGAGAGAGAGAGGGGGGGAAAGAAACTTGTGCGCAAAGTTAACTGCTGTAACCCACTTTTATATGCATTTCTCAAAATACTTCAATGAATTGTATGGCATTTTCTGTGCATTATTCTCGTTTTTTCCTGTCCGTTCTGCAATTCTCTCTCTTTCTCTTTCTCTCTCTCTCTCTCTCTCTCTCTCTCTCAGTCTCTGCAAATTTTCCCTTTTCGAACTGGGAAAAAATAGAAATAAACGCAACGCGCAATGAATTCAATTTACATATCAAGTCGAAACAGACACTGACCACCGCCATTCGCCTCGTCGCGTATATTACATTCGGTTTTTTACGGTAATGCGGCATGTTTTTATTCCGACTATCAACACTTGCATATTCTGATTTCTTGGAGATTTTTTTTTTGGAATTAATTGCGAATTTATAATTTTCTTTGAGTTTTTATTCGTTGCATTTTTTTTTCTAGTTTCCATTTCCCCTAGGTTTTCGTGTCTACATCGAATCAAGCAGAAGGTGAGAATGAGAATGTTTTTGTTTTGCAAAAATTATGGTTGTCTGCATCGTGCCACTGATAATTTGAATTTAAAGAAAAAAAAACTAAAAGAAAGGAAAATAGAATGCACTTGTTCCGTTACCATGTAATTGTATTCAAAATACACAATTGCAGCTGTTGACAGTTCGTCGGATTTTTTTCTGATAACTCCTGATGTCTGATATCTGCAATGGAAATTCCGTGGAATTAAAACGAACGTCGAAACGAAAATGAACATAATTTGCATAGCGAAAGAGCAAAAGAGGAGGAAAAATAACACAAACGAAACGTTATGGATAAACAAAGAGCGTTCAATATCATTTGACATGCGGTCACAAAGCCATACATGGAAAAGATTTGAACATTCAAAAGAGGAAAAAAAAAACGTTTGACATGATTTATTCAAAAATTGATTCGGTTTTTTTCCTCTCCTCGGCTCTCAGCCGGCCAATGGGTTGAATTGGCACGAATGAGATTGACTTGGCTGGGTCAATACTTACTGGCTTTTGCTTGAAACACCATGATTTTAACAAGGAATTCATTTAGGCCATTGAGATGTCTTTGAGGTCGTCCTACAATTTAACAGAATAATTTTTTTTTCTCCGTGAAACTTAGCTCTTTTCACCCCAGCCACAAACTCATTTCATATCCTGTTTATATTCACTCTATTTCACTGTTTATTTTCTTTTCTTTTATTCTATGTAACCGAAAGGATTCTTTTCTTCTTGTTATTATTTTTTCTGCTCTTCAATTTCAGAAGAAATAAAAACAAAACAATTTCTTTTTCTTGTATGTGACAAGACTCGGTTTTTATTTTCACTTTTTATTTCGCCAATAAACAGAAAACAAATTCATTTTATTTTATCTGTTGTACACGACACGAGCAACGAAATAGGAAGGTCGTCTATTGACAAAAAGTGAATGCACACACACAGACATCACAAACTGAGTTGGATTTACACACAATTTAGTTAAATATCCGCCGTCACCACGTAGATGAGATACAGAGCATGTGTGAGAGATTGATGGTGTGTGTGTGTGTGTGTACGCGAGACAGGGACAGCGTAGAGTGAGTAAATGGACCCAACAAATCTTCTATTTGTGATCACTAGCCACTCGTGATTCGACAATTATCTGGGGAATTTATTCGCATTCCCAAAAACCATTTGTATTTGTTGTTCGTTTTTTTTTCTTTCTATTCTTTGTTGGTTTTGGGTATTGGGCTATACACTACTTCTTCTTTCACTTTCACGAATGCGATCCTGACCTTTCACTTAGTCACATTCATTTGATCACCATCTGTTTTCATTTAGTTCACACAAACATACACCATTTTCGTTTTTCTTTTCCCTTTCTTTTCTTATCGAATTTGGCTCGATCAAATTTGCGCTTTTCTTTTTGCTCATTCAATAACAAATAATACTTGATTTCCAATCACTGTTCGAACCGTAAGCGGTTGCACTTTTCTCAAATTCCTTCGATGAATCATATCGACGCGCGTAAGGGCAAGTGATCGTCGACGATACTCTCTTTTTTTCGTCGGTTTTCTCACATATAACAGAAAGAAAAATCGTAAGAAAATTTACGCACACTGTCATTTAATCGTTCTCGGTTTCATTTCGGTCCGATTCATTACCCTGGTTGAACTGTTCATTTTCTTTTTTACTCTCTTGTTCACTTCTTCTTCTTCTTCTATTTCGATCGTTTTATCTCTCTCTCTCTCTCTCTCTCTCTCTCTCTCTTCAGGATGCTTTTTTCACACATGCACGTATAACGAGAATATTATTTGGTTCGCGTTTTTTTCCCTTTTCGATTGTTGTTGTTTTCTTTCTTATGGGTACGAAACCACGATCTATTTCGAATTGAGCGTTTTTTTTTCTCATCCGCGTAACAAAAATTCACATGTTTAACACTCAAACACACTGCTTAGTCACGGAGTGGAATAAGGAAATCAGTGAGATGGTAAAATTCTACAAAAAAAACAAGTGAAAATAATATCAAAACGTTTCACATAAAACTTGTAATTTTGGTTTCTTCTTCTTTTATTTGAAATGTGTCTGTTTTTGTGTGTTGTGAATTCGTCACTCAGATTTCCAAAGAAGAAAAATGGAACGCACACAAAAATTGTGCGTGTTTGTTCGGGTCGAAACGGCAGATTAGAAAAACCGTTTCACACTCACATTATGTTACGGTTTTTTTTTCTTTTTTCTTTTCAATGGCTATCTTCTGGTCTCCCCGAATACTACACTCACTAGGGTCAGTACGGTTTGAATTGTGTGTGCCATGACCGGACCCCTCCCGCACATGAAATACAAATAACTAATTAAAATACACACAACACAAGATTATTCACAAATTGAAACCGAACTGAACGCGAAAAAAAAGAATTGAGCGCATTGCTCTGAATTTCTCAATGATAAAATCAAGCCGAGAGAAGAAAAAAAAACGAAATCTGGTCGTGGATCATATACATACATACACATACACAAAAACTATATATATATGACACACATCGAAATTCCAAACAAGAATGTTTCGATGAAAAAATCACAACGAACACGAACACACTATTACGATGAGGAATCGAACGAGAAAGAAAAAACAGAGCCCAACCGACACAAGCGATGAAAATGAGAGCAAAGAATTTTCACAATAGCAGACACAAGTATGAAGCTGAACGCTCTCGCTCTCTTTCTGCCGTAGCTGCCTGCTTAACGGACGGAAAAACATCCGATCGCATTTTCGTGCCCACAAATAAAAAAGAAAAAATAACAAGAGGAAAAGCAACAAAAACAACGACATAAAAAACTATATAAATCCCGAATCGCTCAAAGAACTGTTTCAACGGAGGGAGACAGAGAGAACCAGCAAGAGATATGGGCTATTCACACGACTTGAATCCGATTGAAGATTACTTGTTGTTTTATTATTATTTTTTTCTCTACTTTCTCGTTAGGATAATGTGAGAGAACGAACAAACTAACGAACGAACGAGTGCATGAGAAATGCCGAGAAAAATAGAAAATACGAAGAAAAAAAGTGAATTGAATGGAGGACCTACCGAGTAAAGCCGTGTGTGTACGGTGTGTACGCTAATGCTCTTTCTCTCGCTTCGCTCCGTGTGTCTCTCTGTCGATGTCGGTGTAGTATCAAGATACACACGCGAAACGTAATGTGCTCAAACGATACGTGTGCATCGAAGAACGTAAGCAACAGGAGCTGCTGGGTTTTTCTGTGCTAAATGTATGCTGTCGATACAGTGTGTGTCAAGCATTTGTGTGCTTTGCGGTCTGATTACAGCAACAACAAATGAAAATAAAGCAAACGAACCGAACGGAATGAAAGAGAGCTAGAGCGAGAGCAAAAGAGAGAGTGAGAAAAGAAAAAAAAACAACAAAACGGTTTTAGCGGTTTTAATAGATTTTTCAGTTTTCAGACTCGATGTATTGATTAGCTCAGGCTCAATCGGATTACGTTCATCGAAAATGTGGCCGATGCTTGTTGTGTTACACATCACCGACACATTCGGAAACATTTCAAAATGAATTTACATCGAAAAACAATCGTTTTGAATTTGGATTAGTACATCGGACAATATAAACAGCCAACAATATCATCGAGAGAGAGAGAGAGAGAGAGAGCGAGCGAGCGATATAAGAGCGCATGCGTTCTCGAAATTTTTCGCTCTACCATCACGCATGAACAATAAACGCCGTTTTATTTCGGCGGCTAAAAATAAAAATCAACACACGCAGAACAAAAGCAACATTTTACTTTCAGTTGAATACCTAAATTTCCCATCGAGTCAAAGGAAATTCTCTCGCTCTGTCGACAATCTCTTTGACAGCGCATTGCAATTCTCTCTCGCTTTCTCCTGCTGGCATGAGCGAGCAAGCGCGCGCGCCTCAGAGGTCAACGTAAAATGGTACAAACAAATAGTTAATTTGAGATCATGTTTCATCGTCTATATTTCATATCTATATTCAAATCGGAATTTAACAAGTGTTTCTGCTCTTGAATTCACCATACGCCGATTGAAACGAATGAAAAATCAGTTCACCGACGATTTAATTCAAAGATATTTTTATTCGGTTTAAATGCAAGCTGATCGACCGATGTTATTATATTGAACGTTGTGTACGTGGATTGAAGTTTGATTTCATCTGAGCGGTTGGACCGTAATGGGTTACTATAATACGTGTAATACTTACATAAAATAAGCTTATTGAGTTTTGCTGTCAACTTTAGCTTCCTTCCGGAAGAGAATGTTTGCTTTTGTTGGAATAAAAGCCAAAAGTCTAACCAATACCATTTCATACTCATGTTTATTTCTCATTTTTTAAACATTCGCATTAGAAAAGATGTAGAATTTATTAAAATATTTAAAAATGTAGAATACGTTCCAGTACATTGAATTGTGATCGAAAAAATGAGTCTCCCGCCTTAAACATTGCTTCATACGATTGGAGACTGATAGTTAGTTTGTTCATCTGGTAACCGATTCACCGTTGTTTCTTTGACAATTGGCTCTACAGCTGATGCTGTCGCAGGATTTAACGGGATTTGAATTTGGACCACGTAATAATCTCGAACTGAAATTCAAAATGAAATTTGAAAAATAATGGCTTCGAAATGAGGTAAAAGTGAAAATGTAATTTTCCTTCACCTCCTAAGAAGATGGCAACACAGAAATTGAAGCAAAAATAAAGAAGGACATCTTCGCCATCTCGATACAATCGTCTTATTTTTCCATCTTTTTCTAACTTCTTAAATTTCGTATAATCCAGGTTCCACATGGGTTCTGAGAACATGGCAACTATCATATCTCTATGAATAGGTGCTAATCCCCAAGCAAAACAGTAAGATAAAACCCATTTGTCCGCATTTGCGAACATTTCGATTCCTTTTCTAATTGCGCACTGCTGTGGTAATGCTGTTAGATGCATGTGATTCCAAAATCCTTTGGAAAATTCATTTGTTTAGTTCTTCGATATTGTGAAAAGAATTATTCATATCAAATATTAAATCATTACCTGATATAAATATAAGGGAATGAAGAGTAATATACTCAAACATATCTAGTTGCCAGATTGGAATGAAAAAATCAAAAATTATCATTACTATACAAGTGGACATGAGTATAGATATAATGCTATCCGTATGCTTTCCGATGTTTTTGAACTTCTGCCATTGGAAATCAAAATGAGAAAAATCAATGTAAAAGTTTATATGTACTCATAAAGTCGTGCCACGAAATTTTCGAGATGTGACGACGCATATCCACGTCATTCCCGAACATAGCAATCGTGCAATGTATAAGTTTGACCGAATAAAAACAATGCATAGTTCAATCACATCAAATGATGTGAGCTGTGTGCTTTGACCGTACGTTATGTGCGCTCACATCATATGGCGTCAGCACTGAGTGTATGTGTGAGTGTTCTGAAATATAAACTCCGTACGGTCAGAGCGCACAGCTCAAATCATTTGTTGTGATTGAATTATACATCGTTTTTATTCGGCCAAACGTACATATAGCTTATACATTGCACGATTGCTATGTTCTAGAATGACGTGGATATACGTCGTCACACCTCAAAAATGTCTTGGCGAGATTATATGAGTAGCTATTGGAATGTCCTTTGTTCGTATTCAAATGTATCTGAAATGTTTCTTACCTCAGGCGAGGCCTTAAAGCAGATCAACATCAAGTGGTTCGCAGTATTCATCATTGTGTGTAGTAGAAATAGCATAAAAGTAATCACAATCACTAGAATGTTTGGAATATCTCTATTGTTAAACGGAGAACCGACCGCTAGCCACAGCCTGATCATGGATAAAACG